CTGGGGGCCGTACAGCAGTGGATGCAGGAGAACGGGCTGAGGCTGAACCCGGACAAGACGGAAGTTCTGAGGGTGGGTGGACCTGTGGATGGTGGCTTGGGAAACTCCCTCATGTTTGGGGGGGTGGCCCTGGCCGCAAAGAGTGGGGTCCGCAGCCTGGGGGTACACCTGGACCAGATGCTCACCATGGAAACATAGGTGGCGTCGGTAGTCCATACTGCCTTTTTCCATCTTTGGCGGATTGCCCGGCTGCGACCTTACTTAGACACAGGGGCGCTCACTACTTTAGTACATGCGCTCGTAATCTCTAGATTAGACCACTGTAACGCGCTCTATGTGGGGCTGCCTCTGAAGCTGACGCGGAAACTTCAGGTGGTGCAGAATGCAGCGGCCAGACTCCTCACTGGAGTGAGGAAATACCAACATATCTCTCCTACTCTGGCCAGGTTGCATTGGCTGTCCATCCATTTCTGTGTTGACTTTAAGGTGTTAATGCTTACATATAAGGCCCTAAACAGTTTAGGACCTCGATACTTGGCGGAACGCCTACTCCCACCTAGATCTACTTGGATCACCTGCACGAGCCAGGAGGTGAGGCTGAGGAGCCTAACACCGAGGGAGGCCTGGAAGGAAAGGACTCGAAATTGGGCCTTCTCGGCGGTGGCTCCTTGCCTCTGGAGTAACCTTCCTCCGGCGATTATGAGGCCCCTATGCTGGGCACTTCCAAGAGTCAATTAAAAACATGGTTATATGTTCAGGCCTTCCCTCCGTTCAATATTTAATTTTTTCTTTTCTTTCCTTTTTATTTGTTTTATTGTGGGATGTGCTTACTCTGTTTGCAATATTCTTATGTTCTATCTTAAATATTTTATTGGAAGCCGCCCAGAGTGGTCGTCCAGACCAGATAGGCGGGATATTAATCAAATAAATAAATAAACAAATAAATTTAGCAAAATTAAAGTCAATCAACCAAACAAACAAAAGAATAGCAAAAAGAAATGAAATGGCAAATGCATTTCAATGATGGAAGATATTAAATGATGTACAGTGGGACTGACTATTTATGTCATTTGATGATCACAAAATTTACTGACAGCAACCAACTGGGATGGCCTTAAAAGAGGAATGGATAAATTCATTAAAGATTATATAATCACTGGCTACTAGTCATAGGCAATATTACCTATGGTATCAGAGACAATAGGCCTTTCAGTATCTTTTGGTAAGTGACATTAATGTGAGTGTGCAATCATGTTTTTATCTTACTTAAGGAGAAAAAATGCTAGCTAAACTTGGCCAAGGTACACAGAGTTCATAAGCCTTCTGTATGTAAGATAGCTAAACTTCATACTACATATTTTGTCTTTGTGGACTTTCCAAATGCATCTATTTGGTCAAAAAACTAGACTAGATGGACCTTGGTGGCTAATTCTGCAGTGCTCTTCTTACATTTTAATTAAAACGCACATTGTGTAAAACTCATAAAAATTAGTTGTATCTCCTAGCTATAGACGCAACATCTTAATACAAGATTAAAACCTGCTCCAACCTTTCTCGTTCCAGCAGAAGCAGGAAATGCTACTAAATGAAGTTTATTAATTGAGGGCTTACAGCAAAAACTGTCATATGGGATGAGTTACATATTATAAGAACATAAAGCAGCAGAATACACAAATTGTTTTTTCCACTAATACCTTTGGATATAAGTATAGAAATATTTTGGCTTGATGTTGTGACAGACGTCTAAAAATCACATATATATTTCACTTAAAAATCATTTGCAATGTAAAATACCTTCTTGTAAATATTCTTCTGTTCATGCTTACTAGCAATTTTTAAAGATACACTTAATGAGAAAAATACTGGCTAAACTTAGCCAAGTATAGAGCTCACATATCTCTTGTATGCATGGTGCCCAAACTCTATATTATGTATTTTGCCCCTGTAAGTAAAAACATCTGGAAAGTCATTTACAACAAATGAAAAGTCAACAGAAACCATAAGCTCAGCTTCTAGGCCAGAGATAATTTGGGGTAATGGATCAAAGGCTGATAGAAACAAGCAAGGCAACCTTTTGCTGCCACCTGTTATCAAAAATAGAGCAAGTGTTAAATTCAACCATGGGATCACATACAAATCTAAAATCAGGATTCTGCGAAGAGGTTGCTCTGTATCCAAATTTACATATATATTTTCCTATGCAATCAGCTATAAAACTCACATTTATATTTTAAATTTGCATATATAGGAAGTCTGGTGAGAGGAAAAAAAGATTAGATATACTTACCCTGGATGGACTGGGATGTCCTCCATTCCCCCAGGACCCTGAGCTAGTTCTGTCTTCTACATCTAGGGACAAAAAAGTTCTTTAGGCTTTATTGCAATAATTCTTTCCTTTTGTAAAGGCACTTTTAAATTAATGTTTCAAATTAATCTCCTGTTGCCTTTAATTAAGAACCAGGCACAAGGCTACTACAATGATAGTGGCTTCTGACCCAACGACTTAAATTAACTCATTTAAATTCACAGCAGAAGTGAACTGGACCCTCAGGAACCGGAGGTTTGCACATAAAAATTATTCCAGTCACTCAGTCTTTCAGGAGACTTTAAGAAGTGTCTGGAAGTCACTGAGTAAAGTTGAATCCAAATCCTGGCACAAAACACATTAACTCAAGGATTAAACTTAAAGAACAGAAAAGCAAACAGAGAAAACTGCTAAGAACATACGAACATGTTTTGAGATTGAAAAAGACTATTGGTCCATCTAGCTTGTTAAATCTGACTGGTAGCATCTGTAACAGGGTTTCAGCCAGATTCCTTCCTAGGCCTTCTTAGAGATCTATGGTATTGTCTGGCAAGTCTCCCTTTTAAAGTACTAATCAGGCCCAATCCTGTTTATCTTGAAAAATCAGATCAGATTAGGTGTTTTGTAGGATAACATGGTGATCAGGCATCATACATATGTACTTTTCAAGTTTGAATAGTGAATTTTCAATTTCTTGAATAGCTTAAAAAATACAGGTGGGAGTTACTTTGGTGTCTCAATAGACACATTGGATGAAAGTTCAAAGAACTTGAATTTCAGCTCAGTCACGAACTTGCCATGTAGTCACCATGTTGTGAAATTAAAAAAATAAACAAATAGCAAGCAAAGAATCCTGCAGAAGAACCTTGGCATACCTCTCTTCTCTAGTCTGCCATTCTACAGACCCTCGTTTTCTCACATTCACACATCTGATCTTTTGTTCCATCCCTTTGGGGCTTTTCTCTCTGATTCTCCTTCCTCCTCATCAATTTCTCTGCATTGCTCCTCTGCACATCAATCCTGACTTCTGTGATGCTGAAATAGCTCAGTACACTATGTTTTTCCTGCCGAGTCTACTGTTTGCGCCTCTCACTCAATCTTGATATACCATCCAGTTTGGAAAAGAAGAATAGCATAGCATGATCAAGGAAAACTTACGCTTTGCTTCTTGGGATTATTATTTTTTTAATTAGATTTCTATCCCGCCCTTTTAGACAAAGTCTACTCCGCTTATCTGCTTCCCAGTCCCATATGAAAGAAGAAGTTCACAATCTGGTGTTCTTTCCCTTTTCCTGTTTGGCTCCAGATTTATGACGCTTAGCAAATCACCTTTTTTGGGAGCAGAAGGGGTTAACAACCACTTCACAAAGGTGCTGCAAGGCTTAACTGATTACACATGCTAAATTGCTATTAAGACCTTTTTGCTCAGAAGAGTTATATGAATTTTTAATTATTGTTCCGTATGTTTCTCCTTGACAAAAATGGAAGTGGGTGCAGAAATGTTGTTTTACCAGAAAAATGAACCTGACAGGATTATTTTATCTGGAGAAGGTAGTATAACAGAATACATTTCTTTTGTTTCACATTCTCCTAAAATACAAAGAGACAAAAGGAAAATATGGCAGAAGTGGAAGAAAATACTTGTCATCAGAAATTGTATTATCTAACTTTACTGACATTGGTCATCTGAGAAAAGAAACAAGAGTGGATGCTTCCAATACTGCCCCTAATGCTCCTTGGTGTTCCTAATGGACAGTCAAGGATGGTGTATCACATGCCTAAGCTAGATCATGGAAACTCTTAAGGTGTGTCAAGGCACAAGAGAAGAAACAAAATTCCCTCAACTCAGTTATTTAACACACATTTCATTATGTGCTTCATGATATACTGAAGCACACTGAAGTAAGCTTGTCTCACTGTTCACAAAAAAAATGTGAGAAAATGTGGAAAAATCCTCTGTGAACATTCTAGTTAGGCAGCAGTCCAGCAAAACAATCAAGAGAAAGCTTAATTTAAAAAATAACTTTGAAGTTTGAGTGAATGATTTCTTTAGTGATGTCTATGGTCTAATCATAATCCACAAATAATATCATACCAAAGTATGCAAAGGTAAAGGTTTACAAATTTGTATTGAAGTACAGTAATTTCATCTAACAAACATACACAGTTAACAGCTGATAGTGACTACATACTGTCAATCTATTTCAAATACAGTGGTGCCTCGCACAACGATGTTAATTGGTTAAAAAAAAACCAACGTTCTGTGAAACTCCATTTCCCATAGAGATGCATTGAAAACCGGATAATCCGTTCCAATTGGAACGGATTGCCGTCCTTAAGCGAAAATCCCCATAGGAAACATTGTTGTGTGAAACAATGTATCCACCATTCAAATGCATTGAGTAGGCTTCAAGGCATCTCAATGGGGGAGAAAAAAATTCACCAAAAATTAACGAAGAGTCAGAACAAAGCCAGATTAAGTTTGCAAAGGTTTCACAAGCTGCACTAACGAGTCCAAGCATTTAAAATAGTTTCTGAGTCTTCGTTAATTTTTGGTAAAAAAATTTCTGCCCCAATGAGATGCATAGACCCCCCCCCAACCAAGAAGCAGCATGGCAGCAGTTAAAAATTTTTAAAAATCAGATTTGAACTTGGGCATCCAAATCCCAGAGGCAGGCATGGCCACAAGAGAACAGCAACCATTTCCTTGCAGAATTCCACACACACAAAGCATAACCTCCCCTCAACCAAGAAGCAGTATGCAGGGAAAAAAATTAAAATCAAGTTTGAACTTCGGCATTCAAATCCCACACAAATCCACAGAAACCCCCAGCCAAAAACCCTCCTGCAATTTCCCCAATGAAAAAAACCCCCATAACCAAAGCCAGACCCAAATTCCCCCTTGCAAAAATCATCAGAGTTTTGCAATACAGTACAGTACAGATACACTGTAAAACCCACCACCCACCCAGGAGAAGAAATACAAGCTTACCTTTGAAAGTTCTCCAGCACAGAAAGCACCCACAAGACAGAGCAAAGAGGCAAAGCCAGCCTTTGAACTGCATGTGGGAAAGTAAACCCAGGATGCATGGGGAAGGTTTTTATCCCTTCCCTGCACAGGCGCAATGCATCCTGGGTACAGGCAGTTAGAAGAACAAATTAGCATTGCCAAACAGCCACCTCTCCCGCTCTTTTTTGAAAACATTGTTAAGTGAAACAGGGGACCCAAAATGCAATCGTTCTGTGAAGCATGGTCCCAAAATCGTTGTGCGAAAATTCCCCATAGGAAACATCGTTGTGTGAGGCGGCAAATTTTTTAGAAAAAGCCATCGTTGAGTGAATTTATCGTTGTGTGAGGCACTCGTTGTGCGAGGCACCACTGTAATATTACGGTCAAATTTTGTTTCTTTAAATGTTAGCAAATGACAGCTAGAGGGAGAAGTGGTGGATGAATTGTAACTCTTTCCCCTTTTATCATTTCATATGGAAAACAGATTGAGTCTGAATCAGGGGTCTTCCATGACTGACATTTGCTAACATTAAAGGAACATAACCAAACTCTCCAATATCTTGTCCTTAAATCCCCATTAAGTTCTACCTCTCCCTCTGTCAACATCTCTGTCTAACTGTCTGTTCGTCCATCTGTCCATTTCTCCTATATTGATCTGAATCATAATACTGATTAGCCAACGTTACGTGTCTACGGAGTTACGTGCCTTCGGTGGGCTGATGTCTCTCAGCTATTTCATCATTGCAGCATTTATTGTCTGCCTGGAGTGTGATCGGGTAGAAAACATTATAAATCTTTTACACGGCATGTAAAGACCAGGAGCTGGAACAAGCCTCCTGTTTTACAATTAGCTTTTGTTCAAAGCACTTCAGATATTATATAGTAAGGCGAGGGGAATGTCTTAACTATAAGGATAGCATTATGATTATCATGAAGAGAATAATCAGTTTTAGAAAAATGGTCATGTTCTTCCTTTCTTTAGGGCTTTTTTCAAAACATAGTATCTAGAAGAAAAGAAATGAAGTGATAATCTTAATAGAATGTTTTTCTTTCTCTGTCATGAACACACAGTTGTATCTTACTGTCACTAGAGCTGGTGTCCTGCTGATATTAACAAAGGTGCTGAAACCCTCTAGTCACTTCTTAATCTTTCTGGCTATAATATACAACCACCCCTTTTTGAATGTTTGCCTTAATGTGGAGAGGGAGTTTGAGTGTGTTAGAGAAACTCAGAGCAATGCTGTCTGGAGGCCAAACTCCATTACAAGCCTGGATTCCTAGCAGCGTCACCCAAGGCAGAATGTTCACAGCTGAGGAACCACATTAAGATACATATAACCTCTTCACGATACATGTACCTTCCACGAGTAACGGGCTATATCATCAGGACAGAACGGAGAGATAAAACAGTTTTCTATAGGCAAAAAATGGACAAGTATGCATTTTATCTTTCTTTTCAATCTGCATGCAGAACAAATCATACAGAAAGTTTGATTAGATTTAAATCAAGGAAGAGGAAGAAACAATAATTTAAAATATGCAGATGGCACCATCTTCCTAGAAGAAAGCAGTGAAAATGAAAGAAAAGCACCAAAGGACATGAAGAAAATAGAAATCACAACTGTAGAAGAAATAACTATACAACTTCAATGCTAAAAATGAGGAAATTGAAATAATAAAGATTATCTATAGCTTGGCACAATCATCAATCCAAATGGAGACTGTAGCCAAAAAATCAGAAGAAAACTGAGACTCAAAACAGTAGCAATGAAGCAAAGATCAGCAAGTGTAATGATGTGTCACTGGAGACTCAAGACCAAGATCATTCACACTATTGTACGACCAAGACCAAGATCATTCACACTATTGTATTGCTAGTTACTATGTCTGGATGTGAAACCTGGACAGTGAAGAAAGCCGACAGGAAAAAAAAAGATTCATTTGAAATATGGTACTGGGAGAGAACTTTATGGATACTTGGACTGAAAGAAAGAAGAACAAGTGACTGATATATCAAATTTTGACCACAACATG